TGACGGCTAAAATAGCGGCTAGGAAGCGGGAAGCAGGAAGCAGTGTTGCAGAATAGTTGGGGGTAGAGCTTCAAGTTACAGCACTTGTTTAGCATGTGTGAGGCCCCAGGTTGAATAACCCTCAACCACCATCAAAAAGTACATTTTACATTTTCTACCTCTAGCTATCTTCAATTCCTGCAAAACTTGTTATTACTATCACTTTAAAGGAAATGGAGGTCTGGGGAGGTTAAGCACCTTCAGCTCACTGAGCACGGCAGCAAGGCACCAAGAATCAATGTAGCAGCCAATACAAGCTATTCGCTGGAGCCTTGCTTATCAAATTCTGAGTTTTACAACGTCACAGTCCTACAACAGTTGGGATCATGTTTATAGAGAACCACTCAATTCAGATAGGGAAAAGCATGATCAAGATGATGTCACTTTGACAGGTTTCATGGGCAAGTATGTACTCTATGCCCATGGCACTGATCTGTGGGGTCTGGTGTGTCTATGGATTAATTGATCAGTGACAGTATCTGGCTGTGGGCTACAAAAACATTTACATAGCGCAGCCCAAACATAGGCACAGCAAAGTAAGAGGAGTCAAGGGGCCTCAGAACCCATGTGTGACATCTAACCTTGCTTCCTCATGAGGCTTGATGGAAACCCACAACATCTGATAAATAAAAACTAACAAGGATTTAGAATGACTCCTGTAAGCTCTATGCAAGTCAACAGAATAAATGTTCATGTCATTGTAATTTTTGCTTTGTAGTTCACAGAAGACATTTAGAAGTACAAAAACTAGAGATTTTTATTTTAGTAAAATATTAGGATTCGTATTTCAAAAGATAGAAAATTAAAGTACCTAAAATAAGATTCAAGGGTGATGATTACAATGTACACTAAAAATGGCAAATTATTATTAAAACAGTGTGGTCTTGCACATATTTTGTTAGTTTTCAAACACATAAGAATGTTTTAAAAATCAAACATGTCTGTATATTTAGATCTGTTACTCATTGTGTTTTTTTAAAATCGTTGAATGTCCAAAAAAATTTTGTTTTTCTCTAAATAGGTACATCATGTAACAGCCAAAATCAACCTTCCTAGACTTAAGTTTAACCAGATATGATAAATGTGGAGTGCACAGAAAACCCCAAAGGTGGGGAGATTCTTGTGCATCCTCCAAACAAGACTTAGCGATGTCCTGAGGTAACACGAGCATGCCAGAGCTGACCCAGTCCCACTCAGTGCAAACACCTAACAAGGCTCCAACACACAGATTTGAAAACTCCAGTACAGTGAAATTTCATCTCCTCCAGTCTACTTTTCCCCCACCGAGTATTTTCTTTGTGGTTCACTGGCCTAAAGCAGATGGAATTTTGCAGAGCTATCAAATCTTCAGAAAAAAAAAAGAGGTTTAAACAGTTTCACTAAGACGACACAGTCAAGAATCATTGGTATTCCTGAGAGGTTGTTTGTGACAGCAAGTTACTTCTAGGGTGTGTGTGTGTGTGTGTGTGTTCCTGAGAGGTTGTTTTTGACAGCAAGTTACTTCTAGGGGGTGTGTGTGTGTGTGTGTGTGTGTGTGTGTGTGTGTGGAAAACGGGAACCTCAGTTAAGTTAAAGGCCTAAGAAACCCCAGACCAAGCAGGAGTTGGCTAGAGGCCCTGTTTTTCGGAAGCAATTTGGCTCTGATATCATCATCTTATAAACTGTAAAAGCATTTTGAAAAACAAACAAGCAATTTAATCGCCCCAAACATTCCATACAGAGAGATTTTACAACACAGAGCAACAACACTGGTCAAGGTCCATTTCAACTTTTGGAACAAAGTGATAACTACTGAGGCCTTTCTAGGCTCCACCAGGGAATCCTGGGCTCCAATTTAAGAATATAGTTCAGTTTTTAAGAGAAAAAAAAAATCAAACAGTCATCCCCAAAGTACTTCTTCCCTTCATTAACTTGGCTTTGCTTGTACTGCAGGCATTGCCTGGATGTTCTTGGACCTGGTTGTCCAACATCAATGTGAAGCAAAGAGTAAAAGCTAAGCACATTTTCTCCACTTTCCCTTTCCTTTTGATTTCTTCACCTCCAAGGTGACTGTCAGGAGCTTCACACCAAGCCCTAGCTTTTTGGTGTGCGTTATACAGAGCTGTCACTACTATTGCTATGCTGTCCCACTCTTCTCTGCACCAAGGGCTAGAATTCCAAAAACCTCATGTGAAAAGGATGGATTCCTTGAGAAATAGTTATGATTATGATTATGATTACTAGGAGTTTGGCAAACTTTGTTCTAATAATAGGGATTCTGAAAGAACACTCAGATAATGCAGCACATTAGTAACTACGAAAAGAAGTAGTAATTCATGCCTGCCATTCTGCACTCACATTCTAATAGGAAAGCCTGCAATCTGGCCTCCTGAGTCTCTCTGCACCTTTGTTATACCTGCTCCCTGAACTAAGGTCTGCAGGCAAAATGACTCAACAGCTTGAACTTTAACCCAAAATCCATACCCAATTTTTATTGGTAAAGGCTGACCATCTATCTAGTTGCTGTCATATTCTCTCTGTCTCTGTCTCTCTCTCTCTGCTATTATCAAGTATTAGTAATGTGTCACTCTTTATCTATTTCCTATTGCTACTTTTACTGTTTTGCCTCAGGACCTCTAAAGACCTTGCCCAAGTATTAAAAATCCTACTAGTTTTCTTGTTTCTGTATTAATTTCTCCTGCACTTGTGGTTTACTCTACCTATCAAGTTAGCTTCTAAAATATAAGCTGTTTAAGTAGTGAAGTCATACCTCATTTGAAAAAGACATTCATGTATTCTAATTTAAGATTATAAAAAATATTCCTGAACATGACATAAAACATACAAGGGATAAATATGCTTACTTTAAAAATCCTCTGTAAAATAACACTACAGAGATTAAAAACACTGGGGAAAATATCTGCCACAGAAGGGCTGATAAGCTAATTTCCTTAATATAAATAAATATAAAGGGGTCTTGGAATTCATTAAGAAAAAAAGCCTATCTAAATTTGAAATAACATTTTAACCCATCTCCTGGGCAGACCAGAATAGCAAAGCCTAATGCAATTAATTATAATACAAGAAGATACACTATCTTGTGAAGATGGGTGTGAGACAATTGGTGGCTATCACTTACTACCAAACCTGCATCAAAGGACCCTTCCTAGATTCAGCTACACCACACATCAACACTAGCATACAGCTGGGCATTTGAGAAATGTCTCTGATCACTGTTATTTATACCTCTGAAACACAGTGGAGCACAGAACAAATCATTGCCTATAAAACTGGCTGATTACTGACCTAGAAGGTTAAAGCTAGCTCTGAGCTAGGCTAAAGTCTTCAGGAATGTGTTTGCACTCACCCAACACCAAATCCTATTATTCTGGCCAATGGGTCAGACCAAATGCCTAAGAGGTTAAATTGATTGGCTTTTCCACTTTAACTTGACTGACTAATACCCAAGCAAGAAGGCACACAGAATTTACAAATCTAGCACTGGTGACATGACTTACTCTACTCAGACACACAGTCATCAAAAGAGAAAGTGTCAAAACTCCACAGGTAAATCATCTTTCAAATGAAAGTTTTCAAAAGAAACGGCAAATCTAACACCTCTATGAGAAAAGATGCATTTTGTTAAAGAAGCAAATAATTCAAAGTTGTGTTCATGTATGTCTGGAAGACAGGCCAGTCACCTACTGCAAGACTGAAAAAGAATCTGGGGGGAACTGGGGATGTGGCTCAGTGGCAGAGCTCTTGCCTGGCATGCATAAGGCCCTGGGTTTGAGTCCTAACACCACAAAAAAAAAATCTGGGGCAAGAGCCTGAGACAGTATTCACCTGCCAAAACCAGAGTTTAGAAACAGAGGTGGATGATCGAAATATGTATAAAAATACCAACATTTTACAAAAGTAATAAATACTAATAAAAATATACATTGGAAAAATAAAAATGAATTTAAAATAAAGAGGTAACAAAAAAGTGGAGAGCCATCAGAAGCAAATTTAGGAGAAACAAAGGAAATTAAACCAACAAAACAGGACCGAAAATTTAAAAATTTTGCCATTTTCTAGCCATTATGTATGACCACATCTTGACAAGTCCACATAACAGAATACCACTATCATACAATGAATAGGTAGTGCCTACATATGTAACTTTTTGCTCTTTAAACTGTTCACACTTCATGAGCAATTACATATACATAACACTGCTGAGAATTAGGATATAGTTGTGAATCTGATTTCCTAAACTTTTTTTTTTTTGTCTTTTTATCGGTATCGGGGATCGAACTCACGACTGCCTGCTTGCACGGCAGGCGCTTATGCCGCTGAGCTAAATCCCCAGCCCCCCTAAACACTCTTTTAAAAAGTAAAATTTTTAAATTTCTAGCTTGTGCAAAGAATTTTCAGAAATTTAAACCTTGATCAATGGTTTGTCAAAACCTATCTGATTAAAGTATCTGCTTGAAAATCTGGTTTACAAAGAAACTGTTTTATTAGTCTTGGCTGAAATGGATTTAGGTCAGTAGTTTCTGGAGAAGAGCATTATATATGTGTACAGTGTGAGCATTTAAAGGGATCCTATGGTGGCAAGTGCCACCAGCCTTAAACTCAGTGACCTAAAGGGGCACAGAATCTAGCCAGAGAATCAAGACTACTTGGTCTTCCTCTCTTTCCTAAGGAGAATGTTGTGTCCTATTTGAAGTGGTACAGGCCACTACAATACTGTGAATTTGCTGTGAAATACTGTGATATTGCTGTTTCGTGAAGGAAATGTTAGGCAGAGAGTAACTGCAGGTCAGAAAGACTGAATCATCATCACCGAAATAATACATGTCAGCCTCGGCTTTGTCTCTGACAACCACAAGAGAGTCTCACCTGAGGCTAAATTAACACATAAAAAGTAAACAACACAAAACCTACTTAAAATTATTAAAAGTACAGCTTTAGAGAAAATAAATGTAGTGACTCACTCTGGGAAGCAAAGTGACCATCTGCAGCCTCATCTTCCTGTCCCTCGTATTCCCTGCTGCACAGCTGTCTGTTGGCTGTCTCTAGTCGATCTATGAATAAATAGGAAGTAATTTAAAATACATGCATATGGATTTAAGTCACCATCCAATGGCAAAGTGAAGTGGTGCCAAAGGATATGAAGAAATGCTCAGTCAGAGCCTCAAAATGAACAATCTGGGAAGAGAAACTATTATAACTGCAACCTCAAATATCAAAAGCAGGTCTTCAGGCGCTGCACTGTGTCTCTATGCAGTCTCATCCACAGCCTACGCATCAGTAGCAGGCAGCGAGGAACAGGTAGTCATAAAAGCTGCTTCTCTCCTTCCAAGGCCAGCAAACCACTGATTCGATGTTTTCCCTAAGGCTCTATAACCTGAAATCCAGCCCTAGCATAACCATCAGCCTTACATTTTAGCCAGAAGATGGCATCTGTGACAAAGCAATGCGGCCCTGAACCAGGCTGTCAGCACCTGGGCAATGCAGGAGGAAAGAACGTGAGAAGAACTTGCCTCGGAGGTCTCGGTTGAAATCATGAAGCCTTCTGATCTCGCCTTCCAGTTTGTTTCTCATTGCCTTGTCCAGCGACTCACGCTTGGTGGTGGACTTGACCAGACTCTCATACGCTTCTGAAATTCTCTGAAGTTCTTTTTCGAACTGTAAGAAAAACTGGTATTAGTGTGACATTTGTGCCAGTGCCTTAGTAACATGGATTCGATGACATTCAGAACTGTGGATTCAGCTCCATTCCTGCTTCTGCCCTTTAAGGGCAGCATTAGAATTCTTTAAATAAGGTTCCTATGTCTGGCCAGACAAGGTCACCTTGTAAAACTCCCTCTGAACATTATCAGTAAGGAGTGAACTAAAACACAAGTTAAGCTTCTTATATTTTGTATGGCCATTATCATGAATCCATTTAATACAAAGGAAAATATTAAAGCACAGAACAACTAAAGCACCATAACCAAAACCTAAACTTCTAGACTCTGAGCACAGAGCTCTTGCCAAGACCCTTCTCCCTGGCTCTACTTGAACGGCCTTGTGACTGAAAAGTTTTACCCCTTGCCTATGAACTTATCTATCTAAAGGACTAATGCACTTGTACTTATGCAAAAATGAACTCCTTTATATGCAGGAAATGAGAGCTATTGCTGGATTAAAACAGGTTTTTTTTGTTTTATTTTGTTTTGTGCTTTTTTGTATTTCACTAGATTAAGAACAGTAACCAGGGGAGCTTTTAATCTATGGCTCTTATGAATATAGTAACAAGTAGCTAGAATTGTTACAAAAAATTAGTGTATTTGAAATGGACATCAATAAACCCCACTTTGTTATTGTATAACATGATGCAGGAAGGAAGCTAAGGACTGGATGAGGGCTTGCAAACCTGGATGGAAACTCAAGTGGTGTGCTAAGTCAGAATGGGAGGGGACCAGAGTCATGCGTTTTGTCCTTTCTGCAGGAAAGTGATGTCACCAGGATGTACCTTTAGAAAAGATACCATCTTTTCTGAACTCCAACTGGCCCAGATCAGAAAGCCCCTTCCAAGATCCCTATAATAAATAACGCACATCCTAACAAATATTCATTATTTGCTTACAGTGTGCAGTGTTTCTTCTGGGTCCCAGGATGCCACAATAAGTAACATACTGCCTAGCTTTTAGGAGCTCACACTCTTAGCTGGCATGTGCCTGGACTATGCATTTCTACAGTGCAATGCAATGAAGGGTATGGCAGTACAATGTTAGGACAACCTAGAGATAAAAATTTTCCAAAGGGGAGAAGGGGTTTCTTTGAAAAGATTTCAGAGAAAATGGTATTTAAAATAAGTATTAAATGACAAAGGAGGATTTACCAGTCAGAGGAGAAAGTCCAAGGGCTTTGTCATTCCAAGCAGACTTGTCATGACAGTCCAGGGATGAGAGCAAGGCAGAAGGGGCAAGAGCCAGGGTCAAGGGGAGAGCTTTAAATTTACAGGGAAGGGAAATTATAAGGAAAGAAAGAATTGGAGAAGGGCGAGCTATAAGTCTCAAAGAGGTGAGGTGGCGGTGGAGTTGGTAATAGAGGAGGCAGCAGGAGAAAAAGAGTCCAAGTAAGAAGCCAATGCTTTGTATATGGGTCACGATAACAGACCAAGACCCTGCACCAAAGAGTTCTAATTAGCAGGTGGAGATACACATCTGCAAAGCAAGTGAGCAGCTGTATTGTCATCAATCAGTAGATGGTGGATAGTAACAAAGTAAGGGACCAGGAAGGGAGATGAACAGATGATTAGAAGGGCAAAGGTAGGGTGCATTGACGAGGAGGGCAGCTAGAGGAGAACAGAGAAAGCAAAGCCCGCAGTGTCTGAGGTGCTAGAATAAAGACTTAAAGAAGCCAAGCCATGGTCAGTGAACCCAGAGGCTACCAGGGAGCCAAGACAGACTGAGAAGAAGCCAGTGAGAAGGCTGCAGCACCAGGAGCCTTCTGCTGAGTGGCAGCCAGTGAAAATGGAATCCAAATACCATAACTCCTCTTGGTATTAAATTATTTTCCCGAAGGCCTCCTTATACCAGTTTCCCCTTCTATGTTCCCCTCGTTTCAATAAGGCCTGTTTCTTCCGCAGATATCACAAATTGTTGGTAATGCGGTGGCACAGAGAACAGCATGTCCTGAATCCTGTTCACTGAGCTACCACAAATAATGTTTCTTCATTTTCAAAAGAGACAGTTTCCAAACAAATACCATTTCTATGCTAATTTTATCCATAAAAGGGGACCTTTATTTTCAGACAGATGGGCACAGCCCCAGACAGTTTCCTTCAAGGCCCAGGGCATCTTCTAGTCACTAAGGAGGTAAGAGGTGCATAAGCCATGGCATGAAGCATGGCCCTGAGACAGGTGCTCAGGCCCAGTTTGCCTGGGAGCCTCCCTAAACCACACACCCCCAAAAATCTCCCCAGAGAACAAGTTTAATCTGCTGTGCTTACCTCACTGGAATTCTGACGTACACATATATTTTGTGTCTGGCTTGTCTGCTCACCCCTTGAGGGCAGAAATAGTCCTTCCTGCCGTAAAAGTGGACCCTACCCAGGACCAAAATACTGATGAATTCATCTTTGACAGACTTGGACTCCAAAAAACTACCTGACCATGGACTCTTCTCCTCCATTGAGACAATTTTCCTCTGCACAGTGTGAGAGGAAACTCCAGGGCCCCTACCACAGCATATTTTACTATATCAAAGGACAAAATGATCAAGAACTAGCACATGACTCAGTGCTTAGGTATTTCCTGTGCAAAATGATAGCTGTAGTGGTAGATAAAGATTAGTATCCTTTAGTGTAGTGGTACAGGACAGAACCATGACTAAATATGGGAAATTAAAGAGATGCAAACTTTGATTCTACATGAGGAAGAATTTACTAATTATGTTTTCCAGAAGTGTAATACACCCAGAGGTGAGCTTTTCTTCTCTGGAAATATTCATGTGAAAAATGAAAGGCCTCCTCCTTTCAGGAACACCAAACAAGGATTCCTAAAGGGTGCAAAGTCAGACCAGAGTCATATTAAGAGCTTTAACTCTAAAGCTCTTTTATTTCTGAATGTATGTGCCTTCATAGCAGAAGCCACACTGTCTTCTCCAGAACTGTCATGTCCAGTCATGAGAAGGTCTCTAACATTTATCAAAGCAGAAGGGAAAAATGGCCTGCTGGCTCTGATATGAAGCCACAAGAACCTGTATAGACTCTGAATTTGGTACAATACAGAGAGATCAAGTAGCCTCAGGCTGGGCCCTGAGAAAAGCATTTGGTGTTCCCAGAAACAGAACTGCGAGCAGAGTGAAAAGCTCTTCACAGCTTCTACCAGTGCCACTATCATGAAGCAAATAGCAGCAGACCCCAGGAAAATCTCAGCTGGCCCAACCTCTGGTGTGGACTTCTTCCCTGAGCACCATCATCTACACAGCTCAAGGATGACCAGGGCTAGAGCCTGCCGTCCACGCCACAGCCTCCCCAGTCAAGCCCCGCTTGTTCTGCTCACAAGACAGCCAAAGGCTGCAGTATCTGTAAAAGCTCAGTCTTTCCTCTCCCAACGGCCCTCTGTCCTCTGATGGCTTCTGAGGCCAACCACTAAAAAGCCTACAGTCTAGTCCTGGAGGAAACTCTGCCTATTAATTAAGTTTTAGGGAAACTGGAAGGAAAGAGAAGCAAAATGAGTAACCAAAAGGAAAGACAAAAACAACAGCTCTTTCTGGGGGTTCTGGACCATCTTTCCAATACTAACAGCAATAACCATTACCTTGTACCCCTCTGGAAACTAGACCTCCATAACTAGGCTGGATTTTGGCAATATCTGAATTTAGTCATTCTCTTCTGCTGTGTTCCTGGCATAATACACGTAGGGTAAAGCCTACAATTAAACATTCATCTATTTTTTGTTCTGCCCTTATAATGTCTCTCAATGTTACAAGGATCGTAGATGGGAAGAGAGCATGGTCACATCCTACAACATGGCCCTGCGGGCCCTCTCAAAAAAGAGTCAAGGTCACTCGAGGAAACCAGCAGCTATCACTACAGGGAAGCAAAGTCATTGCCTCACCTGACCATGTGCTCCTCAGACTTAAGGCTTAGGCAGCTGCTGAGAACACTGAGCAGGGAGGCTGATGGTGAGGGAAGACAGGGACCCAGAACGACCTTGGGAAACACAAAGCATCAAATAACGCACCACCAAGTTCATGGAACTCTTCTATACCTCAGTCCTAGATACTGGGGACTACAAAAGTCATGATGAATAGGCCAAGAATCTAACAAACTTTTGAGGATTTAAATCAACTGTTTTGGCTTGACATATGACAGATCAATAAAATGTAATATTTATGGAACTGTTTATAATATCAGGGAGTAAAAGAATGTTGGGTTCCAGAAGAAAAAGTTTTCTGCTGGGTGGGGGAGGCACACACTGTAATCTCAGTACTCAGGAGGATGAAACAGGAGGATCATTTTGAGTTCAAGGCCAACCTAAACTGTATAGCAAGACCTTATCACAAAGACAAAAAAAAAAAAAAAGAAGAAGAAGAAGAAGAAACAAAGAAAAAGGAACAGAAAAAGAAAAAAATTTCCATTTGTCTTCATTTTCAAAGGTCATCTAACACCACCAACCACTAATTCTAAGAATCAGAGCCATAGATATTCTGGATGATTAAGTGATTTTGTTTTTCTTTTTCAAAAAAGTGTACATCAAAAGCAAGAAAGAGATATAGTCAATGAAAAGTATATATTAATAAGTCAGTGGTCATTCTGTACTATGTACGTAACTTTCAACAATATTACCCTGAACAAATTCTTGTTTTTCCCCCTTTGAGACAGGGCCTCACGAAGTTGGCCCAGACTGGCCTTGAACTGGTGACCCCCTTGCCTTAGTTTCCCCTACAACACCTGGCTGAGACCCAGCACCAAACCCTGCCCTCAGGTGGGTCTACAGTGCCTGTGGACACGTCTACTCTGGAGCTTCATTAGAGGGAAGAAAGAAATGCTTGTTTCCCAGAAGTGCTGAGTTGGTTCCAATTCTCAGGCTGTGTGAGGCTTTCCCGAGAGAGGTCAGAGGCAAGCTGGGGCCTGAAAAGCCACTTACAGGCCAAGGGCCAGGAAATAACATGCCTGTTTCCCAACTTCCAAGGATTCACATGTGAGTGGGAGTGGGGGTACAGTCTTCAGGCAGCCCTGTCTGTCTGTTTCTGGCTCTCATTTCACTCCTGCAATAAAGTCAGCCAGAGCCAAGTCTGGTCTTGACATAGGGAGCTCCAGACCTTCTCAGCAGAAGCTCTGCATAGACGTGCTGGGGCAGATTCTGTCTGCAGACATTCACATCATCAGATCTACTGACCCCAGTCTTTTACTGCCAGTCCCTGGGAACAGACAGGGGGTACAATGCTCAAATCCTGACCGATAAAAGGACAAGCTTTATCTGTGAAATCAGTACCAAACAATAAATATTAAATCATCTAGCCAGAATCATCAATGGCCAGATGAAGCCAATAGCACAACTGTAGTCAGGTAGTTTTTATATTCCTATACTTTCTCCTCATGATAGTCTCTCACAGCCAGACACAGGGTCAGGCATTTAGACTCATAAGATCACTACTACAGGCCTCTTTGCCCCAGAAATGAACCTTTGAATGTCCTGTGGCTATCCTGCCTTGAAACACCCCACTCCTTCCCTCTCACATCTTTTCAGTAGCACATCAGAAGCTAATGTGTGGATCACCATGGAATCACTGCCTAGCAACAGATTATTCCTGCTGGATGGTGTTTTTCTATTTATTTTGGCACTGAGCATAAAGGTCTAGAGATGAGGGCTGATACACATTCTGATTATCTCCATTACACCCCTGTGAGCTGGAATTACTCAGCGTCTCTCCACTACTAAGTGGCAAACAGAAGGCTGATATGCAATAACCTGTACTCTTGATCTCCAGTATTGAGGCACTGCTGCTTTTCGGCAGTCAGCTAATGAAACAACATGGCAAGCACAAGGTTCCTGAGAGTATCAGATTTAAAAGGATCTCTCGCAATTCATTTCTCTGTGTCATTCTGTTCCCTCTTCTAACCCTGTCTACCTGAGGAAATCCTACTCAGCCTCTAAGTCCCTGGCCAAGAGTCACCTTTCCTGTGCCTGTTGGAACCCTGAACACTCCCCATGCAGGTATTAGCTTACACAGCTTTCTCCTGTTTTGGACATGAGACCCTACGATGCAGGCCCTGGGTTGTAATTTACTTTTGTCCCTCTGAACCCTTAGACTGCCTAGCATAAAAAAGGCCTCTTTAAACACAGGCAAGTGAGTCTGTGAACCTAAGCTCCACAGGCAGATAAAGAATTCTTCCTTCCAGAGCAGCTTCACCATCCCTTGAACCAACAGTCATGTACCTTGTGGAGCTTGTCAGCATTGTCATAGTAGCCCTGCAGCTCCTGGTGAAGCGCCCGGTTCTCCTCTGTTAGGATCTCCACCATTTGCTGGGCTCGCTCTACAATCGCGAAGGCATCCGGACCAAGCTGCTGGTTAGGGGAGGCAGCAGGAGGGGGCTGTGGAGCAGCCAGAGTCATTGGAACTGGAAGTGGCAAGGAAACAGAGTGCAGTGGCCCGCTGACGGAGGAGGTCTGCGAGGACATGGGGCTGTGCTGCTGCACTGTAGACGGGAACGGAAGTTGGCATGGGCGGCTGCAAGGAAACAGAAATTCAGCAATCAGAGCCCAGTGCAAGCAACAGGAGGAAGGATGGATTGTCAGTGACTTCATGGCAAGAGATCACCAATGAGCTTCTAGTCATCAGCTGGGCAGCAGGTTTTGTCCCTCATTCCACAGGTCTTTACTATGCTCCCTGCCGGCACAGGGCAAGACTGCGAACAACAAAGACCAGGTTCCTGCTCTCAGAAGCTGATACTCTAGGAGAAAGAGACAAGCAAACCAGCAAACAATCAAACAAAGTCAAGTATCAAAAATGTAATGTGTACTCTTCAAGGAATGGAATGACTGAGGAGCCTCTTCTGATTCAGAGGTCAGGGAAAGTCTTGGAGAGGCATAGATTTGAGTTGAGGTCTAAATGACAGACAAGAAGGAATCAGGGATTTAGATAAAATGGTATAAAAGTGGAGGAAAGGAGTAGTCCAGGTAGAGAATCAGCAAGGGCACAGAGCCCATGGCAAGAATCATCCTGGTAAAGGCAAAGGGAAAAAAAGCAAGCCAGAGTAAGCAGAGTGACCTGCACTACAGGGCAGGATTAAAGAGACACATAGGCAGCTTTGTGAGCCAAGGCCAGACTCCCCCCAGGGAAACTTCAGTGGAGGACCTGCCTATTCTAGGAGTGGTGTGCAGAGGTCACAGTGTGTGGCAGTAAGAACAGAAAGACACCCAAGGCCCAGTGAGGAGGCCCAGGTGAGACTGACAAGGGCTTGCTCACAGGTCAAAGCGAGAAGGAAAACAATTGAGGATCTAAGACAAGGAGGAAGGATGTGAAGGAAATACTCTTACAAATTTTGGACTCGGTGCAAATGGATATGCATACCAATTAAAAAAACTGTGAAAATCTGGGAGAGAAACTGACCTATGTTTTTTGTTTCATTTTGAGGAAGTCTGGAGATCAACTCCAATTTTAGAAACTTTTTTAAAAGAATAAAGCCAAACAAAATAAAATAAAGCCAATCAAAACAAAACAGTGAAAGCGATACAGAATCTCAAAACAAGGTAATAGGAAATCAATAATGGCTGCCATAATGCCTCTTGTTATCTTCAAAATAGCTGCCCTTACCATCAGATATAATTTTGATTGGTTTTATTGTGTTCTGTTTCATTCAATTCTAGCAACTTTAGAAAAAACAGAGAGGTGTACCTTGATGGCTCAAATTCCTGGGCTTCTCCCTCGTATTTGAAAGTAGGAATTTCAAACTGCCTGCCTCTACTCCCTAACAATCTCCTTCTCACTACTCTATTAACCTGCTTCCTAAGAATTCCTGTATTTTTCAACCTAGGCCTAGGGTTTCCAACTACAACTTTTATAGGTACACATATCAACGGCAAACATAGTCTTGATGTCTAGCTCTCCAACCACAGCTGCCTCTTCTGCAGAGATGTAGAAATCTGGTTTTCTTGTTGATTTCTTCCACCTCTGGTCTCCCATCTGGGAAATGGAGGTGAGATGTAAGAATCAGCAGCTACATAAACACTACCAGCATTGTGTGTCAGAGAGCAGAGTCCTCTGCAGGTCCAGCTGCTTCTGACCAGGGACAGCTCATGTGCTACCCTCTGTTGGCCATCCACAGCCAAAGGTCTCCCTCAGTACTACCCATTTGTCCCAGAAGGTCACCTGGCCTTCTATTTTTCTTGTAAGTATATTTGCTGAAATTGGGGGGTTGTGAGCTCTCATTTTCTAAATATTGCATAGAGCCAGGATGTGTCTAAATGCCAGATCACTGCAGCTGAATGCCAAATAATAAAGAAAATTTGACAGGGGTCTCCCTGGCTCTCACCTCTGTGAAGATGGCCACAGAATAAACCTAGCAGACCCCACTACAGTAACTCACCTCAGGCCTTGCTTCGTAACTAGCACACAGCATTCCAAGCAGGTTTCTTTCAGCCTTCAGTCTCAGAGCCTCCTCTATTTGACTGTGAAGTAACTGACATCTATATTCCTTAGGCATGGAGAAGAATTAGCTTAAAGCCATTCTTCCTTCCATAGGTGGGCTTTACCTTCTACCTCTCTTCAGATTTCAAAAAGATATGCTGTCTTTTGGGAGAATTAAACCGGCCCCCTATAAAATCTATTGCATCACTACTTGGTCATCTCTTTAGATGAAGATGTTTTGCATCCTGATGAATCTGGGCTTCATTCACACTGAGGTGTGCATGTGACTATGTATGTCATGCCATGTATACAGGGAGGTTCAGCTTCATCACAAGAGTAAACTGAGGCCCTCGGTCCCATTCACACTGCTCAGATTTCACCCCAGGTGACAGGAACTCCTACCAGCCATGGACCCAAAACCACACAGACTTATTACTGAGTAAGTGCTTCCTAAAGGCTGACTAAACCCGACAGTGTATTTTTCTACTCAAAGAGGTTACTGTCACAAGAGCCCAAGTACTACGCACTGTGTACCACTGCCTTCAATGCAAAGATACAAAGGTCAAGGCCCCTTTGTTCACCTGAGTATTCCCTGCACAATGCTGCTGATCTAGGAGGCCGTGGTCGAAAGCTCTCCTCACAGAAGCATCAGGCCTTCCACAAACTCATGAGTTTCAAGGTGGGCTTCCACCTCTTACATTTATTTTAACTCTAGGATTTTAAGTCTTTTACAGTCCATGATGGGCCATCTTTTCAGTCCCTCTCTCTTATTATGTAACAATTAGAAAGCAAACTGTGAGGCAGAAATCAAATCATAGTGCTTTCCATGCCACCTAACACCCTCAATGATGGTGTGAGATTACAGAAAAAGCATGTTTTCCAAGCTTAAAAACAAAAAAGACAAGCTTTTTCAGAATGAGAAGTCTTCTATCAGACAGCACCAGTCTCACAATTCAGTGATACATTCCTGCTAACAAATCCCACATATCAATGGGCAGTGCGCTGGCAGGGGAACAAACTTTTCCCCAGCTCCACAGCTCATCTGGGGTTGGTAATCATGAAAGATCTATACAAGGCAAAAGGGTGTCAGGAGTGAACAAGGAAATTTCACACAAAATCATACTAATGGTAAGAACCAGCTTATTTTCAGATAAAGATAATGCCACTTTCTTGAGACAAACAAAACAAAAAAAAAAAAAAAAAAAAGAGGGGATGGGAGCTAACATTTACTGAATAGGTACTTGTGAATATGATTCTACATTATAATCATCTATTTTGTGTGACTATTTCCCCTATGAGGTCATGAAGCCAGAGAGCAAGCTTATTAAACATCCTATACTATCTCAGTTTCCTGGGACCACAATTCCACTTATCTTACATGGCTGCCAAGGGATCTAAGGAGTAGGTATGAATAGTCTGGAATAGAGTAAGCACTGAACAAATGTTAGCTGTTATCACCGTTATTATCATTGCATCTGACTATTCCTAACACAGAGCCGAGCATGGGCATATATGAGAAGCCCAGTAAATTTGTTTTCTGCTATGAATAATATTTACTGAGCAATTTTTATATTCCAGCAACTGTGGTATCCATGCTACACACATCAACTCATTTTGACCTTTATGAATTAGGTTTCGCTGTCTATTTAGACAAGGAAAACAAGGCACAGGAAGTAACTTATCAAACTCAGAAAGAGATAAAACAGAGATATAGTAACCTAAAGGAGACTCAAGTCTGGCGTTCTGACCCCAGAGTCCTTGCAGCTCCCTGCTTTCCTGTAAACACTGGTGAAAGCAAGGAGAGAAAGCAGCCACTCTTTCATCTTCTGCTCCTGGACGCCTAACACCTGTGGCTGGGTCAGGGCTACCACCCGACCCATGATCCATACCCTCAAACTATGGCACCAGAACGTTTTGTAGCTTCAAGCAACCTTGGAATAAATATGAGGATTAAAAGCCCTGCCTTTGAGTGGTTTTCTTGAACTATGATTTACACTCAAACTGTTACCTTTTCACGGGATAAAGTGTCTTGTCTATAAAGGACATTCCAGTAACATTCACTGAAGGTTTGTGCTATCTATGAGGCACTGCATTTTGTCACCTTGCCTAAGGTTCATAAAAATGGAGGCAGACAACACTGTCCCTGCTTCTAGGAGAAAGCAGGCTCAGGACCTACTCCTTTCTAACCTACTCCTTTCTCAAGGGACCAAAGGAAACGTGCAACACTAAAGGAAGTCGCTATCTTCCATGTGCCACCAAAATGAGCAATTATTTAAATATAGCTGAGTAGGGTTGCCAGAGACTGTCCAACAAAGTCTTCAGACTCATAGGATTTAAAAACTTACCTAAGCAACAAAACAGTCTCAGACTAGTCCTGTAGCATCAGTGTCTGCACCATTCTGTGCACAGGCTGACTTTCAGAATTTCATCCATTTCTCTCCTCTGAACTTAAAACTTCATCTGAATCACCCTCCTGACAACCGTCCCTATGGCTCCTGCCCTATTTCTTCTTATCTTGAATTCCTATTTAAATATTACTTAATATTTCATTCATGAGTTGTATTTCCCCCTTAATTATTAGCATATAAGCTTTCTAAGAGAAAATTATGACTTATGGTGAGTTGGTACCTGAGAATTGTTTGGTAATGGACTTAGTCTCACCTGAGAGCAAAGAACAAATAAGCCTTCAACATCGCATTATTATAGATCTCTGGCATTTAGATTTGTTATGGGCACTACAGGTAGCCTGGAATTATGAAGACACCAGCATAATAACCATTCTGTGACACTTGCCCTTCTCATATATTTGTGATGACAAATGCAGCTCAAAACTGGAGTAATGGCTATTGGTTTGGGGAAACAGGGTCATTTATGCAACAGTTTATTTGGGCCTCTCCCCATGCAACAAAGCTTCATAAGTAAGCTTATTTAAGCTTCTGCTTTTTAAAAAAGCTTATGCTTTCACATTATGCCTGCAAAGAAAGGAAGCAAGGAAGGAAGGAAGAAAGAAAGAGAAAGTGCTTTGTATCTACAGTGTCATTTAATTCTCACATGCTTGAGCATTCACTGATCTCACTCCATATATACAGCATGCAAATTTA